TTCAACTCTTTCAGTACTGATACCTTTTTTCTGCTCTGTTTCTGTGTTTTTAAGACTGTTTTTAGATACAAGTAATAAAACTGTTGCATTGACTGTGAAAACCTATGCAGAACTGTTTTTTGGCCAGGCAGAAAACTGATCAGTAACCCATGAGAGAACCGATAGTCAGACTTCTGACCAGAACTGATAGTGCCATTAAGACTTTATTGATAGCCAACCCAAGTCCTGTGCTGTTTTTTGTTGTTGTTGCTTTTTTTTCTCCCTTTATTGAACTTTTCTTAGCGCGGAAAGGGGTCTTCTTTTAGTAGATTCCCCAAATGAAGACTTTTAGTAGCTTAAGTGAGGATATGTGGATACTCCACTGCCGTGAGTTTGCTATCACTCTTTTGTAATGTGCAGCCCGCTTTAAAGCAAACAAAAAGATCCTGGCATTGGCAACTGATAAGCTTGTAGGCTTATAAATCCCATGGATTGGAAAATGTGAAACTGGCTGAGAACTAAATGGGACCAAAAGAATTAAGACAGTATTTTAAACTACAACTAAAAAATGTATTCCTGCAATTTTCCCACTAAATTTTGATTCCATTAGTAACCACAGAAAAACCAAAACTTATTAAAAATTGAATGCATAGTACAAAATATAAGTAATTTCCAATAGATACATATATTTTGGTGCTTTTCTAAGCTATTATTAATATTAATCTTGACAAGTTTAATGCTTGGGAAATATTTATATCCTATTTTGCTAATCGAGGACTTAATTAAAGCTAAATCTGTAGCATATTTGAATGTATTTAGTGCTTCCTTCTTTTTATTTAAATTCAATGTGTTCATGAGGTTAAACAAATATAGACAGGAAACCCCAGAACTTAATAGCAGAAGAGGCTAGAAGAGGGCTCAGTCAAGGTCACCCCATATGAATCAATCTTCCAACACTATTAGCAAGGAATTTATCGTAACAGTAAATGGATCATGTGTAACACTCCATCCATCTCACAGACATATTAATAAGATCTCATTACAACAATCTCAGCTGAGTGGCAAGTTTAAGTTGTTGAAATCAACAAGACTCTTCAAATTCAAGAAAAAGACCCACAGAAATCACTGCTCTGATGGCCTCTGTTTGGAAATGAAGAGCTTTTTTGTTTTTGTTTTTCCCTTTCAAAGTATGTCTGTGACAACACAGAAAATGATCACTGTCATCTTACAATTAGTTACACTTGGCTCTGGGGTTAGTGCCCTTCCCAGCAAGACTGTAGGTCTATATATAGGCTGCTGCTGCTGCTTGGGAGCCAAACCAGTGTGAGAGGCAGGCACATGTTGTAAGACAGCCAGCAGAGGAACATTAAGAGCAAAGGTGGTCAGTTTTTGCCCAGACAGTTTGGCGCCTGTTCAGGCTATTGGAAGACTACCTATTTAATTCCTTTAAGACAGATGGCCGCATGGGCTACATGTTAGGTGATCTCCAATAGATAGATGACAATCTGACTTTGTATTTACATTAGAAAATGTGTATAGAAATAATGCTGTTAAATATTTATAGACTTTTTAAATTATGTGATTATAAACTTCCACCAAGTGCCAAATGTGGACAGTTTTGTTTGGCAAAATATTCTATTCTATATAAAAATTCTATTCACAAAACTGGCTGCTAATTAGGAAAGAAAAAAGAAGAGAGACTGAAATAAAAACAAAAAAACAAGTGCTGTTACCACATGTTTGTTGTAATTTATATGCACAGTCCTTCTGTCCTGCCATCTGTTTTGCCCCACCTGTATCTTGTGAAGACCCACCTGCACCCTATCTGACTTTTTTTTGCAGATTCTGAAATTGAATTGCCATTTTTCCAGATTAAGAACAAAGGGGAGAAAGGACAAAGACATATACAATTGTTATAATGATTATATTATTTGTTGTGAGAAGCGAGCATCCACGTCACTGCTCTATTTCATCCGGTAACTCAACTGTGTCTTGTTGCACGCACACTCTCGCACCTAGTCTTATATTATTTCATGCAGCAACCCAACACACAAACAATGAATTCTAGCAGAGTGAATGCTTGTACTCGACCGCCTCTGTTGGCAAACACACTGAAATCATACTAAAATACTACCTGGGTGCAGTAAAGTGCATGTCTTCAGAAGCAGACCAACTATCTGTAACAGGCTTGCTAAACATGGTATATGCTTACTGATCTAGTAAGCTGTCTTAACACTGTTATATCACCGTAGTGGCATATGATTAGTTTAATTGCCATATAACTCCACCTTAAGTGTTAAACTCCAGCACACATGCAAGAATAACCTCCCAAGACAACCCACGTATATTCAAGTGACACAGAATCCACAGCAGTTACTCTGGGTCACTTTTATAGCTTACAGGCAAATGCATTGTTGTGCTTCAAAGACTCAAGTTCTCACATTACTGATGGTCTGAGAAGAGAAGTTTGAGATGTGATATTGATACACACCCTATGCACCAGGGTGATCCGGTGCATAGGTAAAGTGTCAAAGGGCGCCAGGAATGAGAATCACTGGATATTAGAAGCTATGGGCTTGTGGAGAAGTCATTCACGTTTAAGCAGCACTTAAAAAAAACCCAAAAAAACAAACCCATCTATTACAGAGGACAGAATATTGTTTAGAAGTGATACATATAGGAAAAGACCTAAAACTGGAGGTTAATTTCACTGCATAACACACAAACCTCACAAGAAACAATAAGCGCGGATAAAACAGTTTCACTGTTTACATCTCAGACAAACCGAATAAGTTTCCCATAAGCTGCACAGATAGCTTTGCTATGTGCATGAAGTAAAACTGAATCGATACACAACACCAGCAGCACAGTTCTCTTTAGTCCGCGTATTAGCTTCGTCCTTAGGAACTTCTTGCCAATCTCAATCCAAACCACCGAGAACTCGATCCATACATGAATCAACTGTCAGAGCTGTCAGATCATATGGTCCCGTTATATAGTCCAAACGCATAAAGAGAAGTGTACTTTCCAGATGTATTATTGCAAATACTTTTACAAAATATGCGTTAATTTGATGCAGACAGTGAATTTTCGTTAATGTTAAAAGGGAAAAAAAACGCGCTGGAGCGCTTTTCATTTTGAAAACGCAATGAACAAACGTTATCCTAGTTGGAGAACTTACCCGGGCAAGGCCCCACTGACAAACTTGTTGCGTAGTTGAGTTTTTTTTCTTTTTCAACAAAAGACGTGTTTCCATCTTTTCACACAAAGGCAACTGAGGTCTTTAACAACTACAACAGCTAGCAAGTGCGAATAAAAGCTAACGTCAACAGAGAAAAGTAGTCAGCCAGCTAGCATTAGTTATGTACCGTAAATTGACTTTTTCCTTACCTTTTTCCTGGTTAAATGATATTATTTCCTCCTCCTTGGGGTTAGAAACTTGGGTTATTATGGACATGTGGTCCATTTAGACGATTGGTTATTCCTGTTTTAGTTCCCACAATGTCAATAGTACAAGCGCGCTTGCTTCCTTTGCTAGCTACTGTTAGCTAGCTGTTTAAGATGAAGGTAACCAGCTAGCCCACGAAGCCAGGAAAGCGTCCGAGGCGAAGGGGTTGTGGCAGCGGTGGTAGCCAGCCAGCTAGCACAGTGGTGAATGGAAGCCAGATAATGTCTGTCATTTATGGCTTTCCGAAAACTACCATCGCTACAAACAACTATGTTTGTGGGCAACACGAGGAGCGTGCGTGACTATAAAAAACAAATAAATAGAAAAGACGCTGAAATTGCTAACTAACTGAAGTTAGCAAGTAGCTTAGGTTAGCGAGTTAGCCGCAAACCTTCGATTATCCAAAATGCGAGGCCGTGTCTGGAGCACCGCTGAAAATACTTGGAAGCCCAGATGGTTGTTCTAGTTCAAAAAAATGCAACGACCGCAGGTTGTTCGGCGTTAAAGTTACCAGACACTTTTAGGCAGTCGGTTCATATGTGCTGGCCCTACATTCCCTGTGCAACATGGAGGCTTTATGTATTTTGAGTTGCATCTGAAGCGGGGGCACCGTGAGTGGGAGGGGGCGGTTTGTTTCTGTGATGGATTCTCTCAGGCAGGCAGCACAAACTCGCCGCACTACATTGCTCAAACCATGCAGCTGGCTGGACGCGGCTTTCTTGGGCTGTAATTACTGATGTCCGCAGGCAACAGACTCTTTACTATTAGCATTTGGGGGGAAAAACTCTCCCAAACAGAATATGCTTAATGGGGCCGTTTATAGTGACACTAAGCTATCGATTTAACACTGCTCCCAGGCAAACAACAAACCGAGCAAATACTTGACGTTGATCCAAAAACCCCTGGTATTCAGGCACCCTTGTCATTTTTAATAAACCGGGAGCGACACCTAGTGTCTAAATGACAACAATGCTGCCTTAGTAACTATGAAACAGCGCCTGCATGCATTCAATCCCATCAGTCGCAGTGTGATTTGGAGTGGGTGGCTTCTTGACAAATGACATTTTATGTTGAGAGTGATTAAAAATAGAAAGACTCAGATGTGATGTGTGTGTGCTGAAATGGGAAAGCACTGACTAATATATGAAAATTCCCCAAATTCCTTAGGCATTTAATGCGTTTTATAATATGGCGGTCTTCGACGATATCACAGAGTACAGAAAATTATTTTTAAAAACAGAAAAAACCCAATTTCTTTCAAATTGTAGAAACATTGCCTTTGTTGCATCTAACCGGAAAACGTGAAAGACTTGGGTCTGTAACAGTAAGTGCAATCATATGTCATTGCACTTTTAACATCCGCATATAATTTATCAAGTCAGATTCATTCTATCTTTGATTGGCTCTCAATTAGGCTAATTGCTACTGATTGACTTTCTTTTTTCGACGTTATAAACCATGTTTGTGAGTAAGATCCGATGGACACGGTGTGGACCACCCCTCATTGCGGTGCAGTAGTGGTGGATAAATATATCCCCCCTCCTCCTCCTCCTCCTCCTCCTTTCGTTGGGTCCGCAACATCCTGACTGCCAGAGGCTGGTGATCAGAGGCAGCGGCAAAGCCCCCGCAAGACGAATGAAATGAAATCTGCTTTTGCCGCCACCTGCTTTCCCCCAATTTCTTTGGTCTACTGAAGAACTGGCTGTAGTGCTGCCCTCATCCTGACAGTGTAAAGCGGATATAAGGTTAGTAAAACAAGTCTTGTATTAATGCAAAGTGATAAATATGACGGAAACCACCAGGGGGGAACAATCAGAACAAACAGCCGGTGTGTTATCGACTCTGTGCGCACAGAGCATTGAAAAAGTAAGCCTCAATTTGTATGCATGCCGCTTTGCGGGGGATCTGCATAGCCATGGTTACATCTTGGCACTGGCATGCCACACTTGTTCGTCCAACTCCTTTAAGTTCAACTCAAAGTGCGCTACATGAGCATGAAGCACACGCCCTAACACAGCCAGGAACCCGGGCTGTCCACCTGAAAACTAACGGTTTTCCCACTCCAGTGCGCCATTCTTGGCCATTCCAGTTAGGGCTAATTATTCTGTGAAGTGAGTCCCCAGCGCCTCCCAGATCACATAGCACTGCAGCTGCCCTGCTGTACAGCAAACCAACTGCAAGACAGTACTATAATAGGAAGGAGAGGTAGGGTTGCGCAGCTGACGGTGCTGATTCCGAGGAGCCAGAGCTCTGAAGTCCTATTTAAGTCACTGGGCTGTCGATCCGGGAAGCTTATTAGTAAAATACCACCTCGGTGAAACACCCCGGTCTGTCTCAGACCAGTCAGGAACTTGTGTTATTACTGCGCTGACCCGTTTTTGTGGGTGTATAGTTTCTATAGGCACAGGCTGATTTCCACTGGGTAACACTGCCAAGGACATCTACCATAAAAATTAACTGTACTGGGTTTCTCCTCATGTTTTGTCCGGTTAATCCTGCGGAGCATTTTATTTATCGAGGAACCTGTCAACGTGCATGCTTTCATACTGACATGTCACAGCAAACTACAATGTAACAATTTCCAAAGAATAACCTGGTTCAGTAAAATAAACCTTTTAACCCTGCATTTCTCTCAGAGTTTTCCTTTTTTTGTTTTGTTTTCTGTTCATTTATACTGGTTCCCTTCACTTAGGTCTAACATTATGTGGCTGATTGCTTTTCAACCCATTAGGCTTCAAGTGTGCAGATTCACCATGGGGATCAAGACTGCCCTCCCTAGATATGAGCTGTATCTCTACACAGCTGTACTTGCTGTGGCCTTGATATGGGCAGGCAGTTGGATATTTGAAGCTTCAAGTGGTGAGTGCACAACGTGTCAAGAGATGTCCGGAGTGCATGCATGCATGCGCGCGCGCACACACACACACACACACACACACACACACACACACACACAGGCTGTCGGTGTAACTGAGAAAGTCCGAAAAAAAAATCAATATCACAGTGCTTTAACATTTATAGAGGTTAATTGAAATCCACTGATATTCCCTAAAGTTGGAGAGAATGGACACTTTTATGCACCTACTATCAGCTTTAGGAGCACAATTTTCACTCATGATCTGATAAATGTCACTGAAAGCCAAGTGACAATGCAATTCAATTCCAATGCAATTTAAAAACTGCCTCAAAAAGCACCGTCCTACATCCTACAACAGTGCTCTATTTAACCTAAAACAGGGCAGAACAAAGTTCATTTAGTAGATGAAAAGAGACTGCTTCCCCCCTGCGTGTTCTTATTATGTGAAGACAATTTGAAAAAATGGTCCACTTACTCTCTAATTATTTCCCAGATGGAGATATTTCTGACTAAGTTACACTGAGCCAACTAACTCCAAACCCTTCATCCTGAAATAACACCAAATGTTTGCATGCATTCAGACTATGACATGCTTCGACCAGCCTCTTCACAAACTGATCTGAGTGGACTGAGTGCAATCGGGTGACTGGTGCTGTCTGTCACCGTCTGTGCTGTCATACAGTCTAGATGTCAATCATCATTTTAGTCCAGATATTTTTTCTCCTTCAGTCTCTGTCTCTTAAAATGGTGATTTGTAATACTCAGGTCTGCATGCTACAGTAGCACTGTATACTGGCAATAGTAGTTTGGCTGTGTTCCCAGAAGTAAGAGGCTTTCCCCGAATGACCCTTACATTTTGAGGCTTCTCCAGCTTTGGCTGGAAAAACCTACTCCCCACTGTGGTGGTGGTGGTGGTGTAGGTTGATCACATTTGTTGCTACACTGATTGCTTCAACTTTGGTCACCACTGCGATTGTTTTTGGTGTTGTGTTTGTCATTTATGTGTTAGCGCTTTGTTCAGGTTATATAGAAAACTACTCTCCTGCAACAAGATTATGTCTACATGAGACTAGATGTCAGCCTCAGAATAGAAAGCTCTGCAGTGAGTGTATTATGTAATATTTGGTGTTATAAAATAGACCAGAAGTGCTCTCAGGCCCTTAAATTTGCAATAATCCAATGAACACACCAAAGCTCTTCAAGCTGTGACTACCTGTACGACTGTTTTCTTACAGAGGAATAACCAGCTCATATAAAAATGCCCAAAACAAAGCTGCTCAAAGCCTGGATTCCCTAACACAGAGGCTTTACAGTGTCCTGCCATTACTTAAAGCTGTTTTGCATTATTAATAAAACACCTCAGCATGCACAAATGGAGATTATCGTTTTTTTGTTTGTTCGTTTTTTCAGAAAATGCAAACAGAAAGACCTTCAAGGAAAGCGTCAAACCAGGATGGCATTATTTTGGCAGGAAAATGGTAAGTCCCTCTTCTTCATGTATTCTCTATACAGCTGCACAGCGCCATGTTAAGCGAGCGGTTGTTATTTGATCCTAATGCATTTTTCCTTGCTGTAGGATGCTGCGGACTTCGAATGGGTGATGTGGTTCACGACATTCCGCAATCATATCCTTTTTGCTCTCGTTGGTCATGTGATCTTTGCCAAGATATTTTCCCTGGTGGCTCCAAAGGTGCGCGGGTGTGAATGCTCACGAGATACTCCTGGGTTTTGAATAAATACACGTGCGGGCTCATGGTGTTTTCTCTGTAAATATGTATTTCACACATATTTGCATGTGCTCAAGTGTGAAGAAAGATATTACAGTAAATGCAAAGCTGCATTCTGCTGATGTGAACAGAAGGCCTTGAAGTGATTAATTAAATGTAGTTTTATTCCATTTTTATTCAATGAGATGTTTTTCTGTTCCAGAACAAAAATGTTTCTCGTGGCTTTTATTTGAACCTCAAGGCCTGACAGAGTGACTCAACACAGCATGAGCTGCTTTCTTTGATACCAAGTTCCCATCTGTTGCGTCTCTGCTGTGAATATCTGGACATATTTAAAACAGTTCATCATGTTTTAAACACGTTTTATGTCTTGTTTCATGTTTACAATGAAGATTGGTATAAATGGATGTAAGGTAACATTAAAAGATCTTAGAATTTCACAACATTTGCCATGCATTTCATTTAAATTGTGCATATGTGGACTGTAGATTTGTTTTCATTGCCCTGTAATTTAATCTTCCCATCCTTAGGTATTTTAATTTTTTGCAGTGTCATGAGTGTTATTATACTAACACCACTCTTCATGTGTGTTCCTGAATTCTGAACTATATCCTGATATCTTGACTAATTCTGGCTCCTTCTTATCCACAGCACAGATCCTTGGTCTTTGGGGTGTATGGAGGTTTGGCAGTCCTGGTAACGATGGGCTGGACTTTCTTGGCTCTGGTTCTTTCTCATTGCATCATACTATACAGCGTGGCTATATTCAAAAGTAAATGGATGTGCTTCGCTGCAGGCTTGTGTACGCTGGCCTCCATCAAGCTGGAGCCCTTTAACTCCTGGCAGGTGAGGGAATGGTAGCAAAGTAGAAGTTTAACAACTTCACCTACTTCCAAAGTCCAGCGACGCATGTAATAAATACTACAACATTTGTGCTCGACCACCACATTTCTTCCTAATGATCCTAATGGAAGTTCTTTCTGCCCGTCCCTGAGCCTGGTTCTGCTGGAGGTTGCTTCCTGTTAAAAGGGAGTTTTTCCTTCCCACTTTCTCTCAGTGCTTGCTCATAAGGGGTCATTTGATTGTTTGGGTTGTCTCTGTATTATTGTAGGGTCTTTACCTTACAATATAAAACACCTTAAGACAACTTCATTTGTGATTTGGTGCTATATAAATAAAACTGAACTGCAACTTTTCTGGAGTTTAGCTGAGTTTGTAGGGGTGTTTCCAGGATTTTCCAAAATGTGGTGATTCAGACTCAGAAGCAGTTATTGAAGCCCACTGGAAATAAGTGAGGTTTATTAGAAAGAAACAACCAATAAAACCATTTGAAAATTGGTTGAATTTAAATGCAGACAGACCTCCAGCCTCCCTAAACATGCACTAGAAAACGTGAATGCCCTGTAGCATCATAGTTTTCACATTGCTACACACAGTTGTTGTTGGCCCCCCTTTATCCACACCACTGTGAAAGTTTTCAGCTGTAGGTGATCTTAGAAGCGTTACCAAACCGGAGAACGATCCCGAAACACTATAGATAACATTACAAATTATAGTATTTGGTCTAATATGTAATGTATGGACACATGATTACAGTACTGACAGCATACAGCTTCTGCCAGATTGTTATTGTCGTCCTTATGCAGACTGGTGTTTGAGGCTCAGAATAACTTTTATCCCCCCACTGCCCCACAACAGGAAGCCTTGGTAACTGGTTCCTTCAACCTCCAAGATATCCTGTTCTATGGCGGTTGTGGCTTCAGCATCATGCGCTGTATGAGTTTTGCTTTAGAGAACTGCGAGAAGAAGGAAGGCAACTACACGTTCTCAGACCTGGTGAAATACAACTTCTACCTCCCATTCTTCTTCTTTGGACCGATAATGACATTCGACCGGTTTCATGCCCAGGTGAGGATTGAAATCAAACGGAATATAAAGATAAACTGGTGTTTTTTTTAAAAAGAAACCCTAATATTTCTTTTAATCAACAGTAGGTACATCTATTCTTTAATTAACTATTTTATTAATGTGAATAATTAATTGGTCCAAAAATAGTTACAAATCTGTAACTCTGCTATTCTGAATGGAGTAATCGTCAAATATTCAAGTTTCTATGGAATATGGCAGGGATAGCTCAGTAGGTAGAGTGGTCGCCCCATGATCATGGGTTCAAATCCCCTGAATGGCTACCTGAGCAAGGTACTGTCCCTAGTTTAGTGGAAGCTTTTGTTCTGCAGGCAAATAACACTCAGCTGATCCGTAAAGAGAGGGAGATGTGGAACATCACCACCAAGGCCTTGTTGCACCTGGGAGGTATTCTCGTGGTGGATGTCTTCTTCCACTACCTTTACATTCTGACGATACCCAGTGACATGAAGCTGGTCGCTAAGCTTTCTGACTGGTCTCTGGGTGAGTAATTAAATCCAAAGCTTTTTCCTTTCTTTCGCACTTGCACTGAAGTTTTCTTGCTTCAGTCATTTGATTTCTTGTGGTTTGAAATAACATTGTTATTCCCTAAAATCATACTATTTCCAAGGAAAATCAGTGAAAAAATGAATAATCTAAAATTCTAATGAGACATCATTTCAAGTTAATCTGCTACTGGAGGTTTTCTCAGAGGCAGGACTTTAAATAAATGCCTGAAAAGACTGTGGGATATATTCTAATTAGGAAAGATTCAGATTTGTTTTTATGTGATTCACAGCTGGACTGGCTTATTCCAACTTGGTGTATGACTGGGTGAAAGCGGCTGTAATGTTCGGCGTCATCAACACCGTGGCAATGCTGGATCACCTGGACCCTCCTCAGCCTCCCAAGTGTATCACCATGCTTTACGTCTTCGCTGAGACGTACGTGCGACTTGCATCAGCAGTGTGAAACCACAGTGTAGTTTCTTGGTTCGCTCTGCAAAACCGTAAAATGTGTGAAAGTATTCATGAAACTTTGTGTCTTTTGTAGGCACTTTGACAGAGGCATCAATGACTGGCTGTGCAAGTGAGTGCATGGATGATTTAAATTCATGGGCATAAAGAACCGAACGCGGTATAGACAAGAGGATTTTGACTCATCGTTGTGTCACGTACAGGTATGTTTACGACTACATTGGTGGAAATCACGATCAAATCTTCAAAGAACTTCTTGCAACCATCTGCACTTTTGCCGTCACCACCCTGTGGCTGGGCCCATGTGAACTGGTTTATATCTGGTCCTTTTTCAACTGCTTTGGTCTCAACTTTGAGCTGTGGGTGGCCAAGTTCTTCTCCCTTCCACCACTTTCTACCATAGAGGTGAGAAACGATAAGGCAAATAGTAATGCCCCTAGGCATGTTTGAGCATGGATGAAAATTCTTGCCTTGAATTACAATTTGTGTCTGATACATTTAAAGAAGAAATTAAATTACTTGGTAAAAAAATTCTTTAGAGTCTTGACACAAACACAGGAATCTATCAACATTTTGTCATCACATTTAGTCACTGGATACAGAATCTCTTCTTCATCACTGATAGTGATCTTGGTATTTAATGAGCACTGATTTTAAGTCACTCTATCACACTTTGTGGAAGCTGCGTAATGGACTGAGACAGAATAGTGTGTATTTGGTTCCTGTTTCCCCGTGCCCTTCTTGTTTCTCTCCTCTTTCCCCCAACACTCCAACTGGTCACGGCAGATTTCTGTCTGGCTCTACCAGAGTTCTCTTCCTGTCTAAAGGAAGTTCTTCCTTCTTACTGTTGCCAAGTGAGCCTCAGGGGCTATTATCTAATTCTCTTTAATGTTGTACCTTTCATTATAAAGGGGAGTGAACTGGCAGTTAATAAATAAAACTGGTGGTTATCAACTTCACAGATCCATTTCTTAGTTTGATGGGCCTTAATACAGTACTGACCTGAGAGCAACAGGATCAAAAGTAAGCTGAGCGACACGATTTTGAGGTGTGGAACTATTTTTATTCATTTAAAAAGCCATTATTAAAAGAAGTGGATCTATTATATTTGCCCCAAGAATATAATAGACAAGAGAAAAGCAAAACAGATCCTAATTTAAAGATGGACTAAGCATCTTTCAAACATTTCACAGGTCTGCAGGATGGCAGCAGAATTACATTTTTTCTTTTTCTGTGTTAGTTGTAATTTTGTGCTCTGTTGTGTGTCTTCTGTTAGAGTGCCATGGGTGAAGCCATGTCACGCAGGATCCGCGGTTTGTTCAATGCGGCCAACTTCTGGGCTATCGTCCTCTACAATGTTCTCTCCCTGAACAGTTTGGAGTTTGCCAAAATGGTGGGAAGGAGACTGATTTTTAAAGGTGGGGAACAACATCAGTATGAATAAAAAACAGGGTTTTTTCTCAGTTCCAAAAGCACAGGAAAACAAGAAAAGTAAAAACTTGAGGGGCTTAATGCTCCACAGATCATTTGACTTTAGCATCGCTTCTGTTTTCTTCATAGCATTAAACATTCTGTGACACAACTCTGACAGGGCTTGTTCACTGGATTATCTGCAGTATTTCCTTTAAAGTTCTGCTTTAATGTTCTCACCCCCCCTTCCTCCTTCTTCTTTGTCCTATTGTTAGGTTTTCCTCTGTCGACCCTCTCTGTGTTACTCGTGACCTACTGTGGTGTGCAGCTGGTGAAGGAACGAGAGAGACAACAAGCCTTGCTGGAAGATCCAGAGCCGGTGAAGCCAGTAGATGGTGGCAAAGAAAAAGCAGAATAACCTGGCAGAGAAACAGTTTCACAGACTTAATGGTCAATGGGCGCTCACGTGGTTCTATCCTCGGCCTTGCATGCTGTAACAGAACCATGCTGGTTAACAGCCATTCAGCACCTATATTGTTCACAAGCCGGTGTTTTTCCTTTTGTTTGTCGGAAGCGAGGCAATGATTCGAACTGTGAAAAATCCGCAAGTGCACTTGCTGTTGATAATCAACACATACTTTGGCACAAACCCACCGACAGTGCATTTAGTATTTGTATCGATCTGGACTAAAGATTGTTTAAAATCTATCTATCTATCTATCTATCTATCTATCTATCTATCTATCTATCTATCTATCTATCTATCTATATATATATATATATATATATATATATATATATATATATATATGTATGTTTAAAAGTACTTAAGGACATATAGTATTGTAAAGGAAGAATTACTTTTGGCCTGTGTGGTTCTGTTCTCCTTCACTTTTATTTCTTCTTCCTTTTTTATCACCATCTTTGTTTTTTATTTAATTGAGATGGTTGAGATCCAATCTTATTGATCTGTAATCAAGCTAAAAGGGTAAAACTTGAAGAAAACTTGAAATCAGGGCGTCATAAATGGAGTGCAATAAAGAAAATAAAAAGGGTGCTATGGAGGTCCTCCACATAGCTTGCAGCTGATTGTAATGTACAGTATAATTGTTTTACTCTTACTAAGAAAAATATATATGACGGTAAAGCACTGGTATTTTAGTTTGATTATGTATCAGATCTCCTGTGATTCTGAGTACTGAATGTAGCTAAGTCACTGGAAACCATTCAAAGAATGACTGCCTTACTCTACTACTGTCCACAGGAGATTACTGTGGGTGTGGCGTTTTGGTCCATCTCTCCTCGGCCCTCACTCACATAATAAAGACCCCCACTTGAAAGGCCAGAAGCCCAGCAGGGGACATGGGTCAGTGTTATGCTGCCTGTCAACAAAACCTGCTGTGTGTCTTCAGTGCAGCAGTCAGAGAGAGAGAAAAACTCGATGCAATGTTTTTTCCCACTTTTGGGTATTCATTAAAGGTGTTCATTTCAAATGTTTGACTTGTAATAAAGTGGTGTTTTGTCCAGAAGGGACACTCCTGCTGTGAGTTTGTTTGGTTGCTATTTGCAGTGAGATTGCTGTGTGTACATGTATGCACCTATGAGCTGTTCAGGACGGTCTGCATTAAAACATTTGAACAAATTCATTCTCTTTGAATGGACGAAAAAGGCTCTCCTGCTGATTTGTGAGACACTGCCATTCATCACCACCAGATGGCCCAGTTTGTCCAAAGTTAATTTCTGCTATTTCCTTTGTGGTTACAGCATGGATGATTAAAAACATCCAATGTTTGCTAAACTTTTCTTTTGGCCTGTCCGACAGTGTAGCAGTTGTTGTCTGAAGGCCAAAAAATGCCACACAGATTTACTTTCCCACGTGGACCATTACTGTATTTGCTATAATGGTCCACTTGATAGTTATATTTCATTAGAATTTTATCAGGATTTTTAATTTTGAGTTATTATAATGACAATGGACAAGACTGAACAGAAAAGAAAACAAAGAAAGAGAAGTTGGGAAGAAAGAAAGAGGGAGAGAAAGGGACAGAGAAAAAAAACACATCAACAACAGAAGTGGGACAAAACCACCTCTTTGCCAACAGGCTACACTACATGTCAGGATGGTTAAAACATACCCTTTTAGAAAAGCCCGGGCCAAATTAAGTAATTCACTTGTATTTGTTGATGAGTGTTCCTTTTATGAAACCAGTCTGGCCAGGCCGTATTATGAGGTGGGTTATCTTTTCTAATCTTTTAGAGTTTTGTGACGTCAGTAACCAATACAGTGTGACACCCAAAAAGCATTGTTGGCTTCATGTTGAGATTTACTGGCACAGAGCACAGAGAATTATTTAACACGATTACCTAAACTTTTGTTATTTTTTTTAAAGCTGCTGGCAACCCAAAACGTCCGCTATGCTGAAGCTTTATGCAGCTACAATGTGTCGTCTTAGTTTATTTGTATAGTGACAAAAAAAGAAGAAGCTTGGCAAAGAATAAGGCTATGTGAGATTTTAAACTTTGAACTGTTTTGAGTTTGAGGTTCATAAATCAGACGCTGATGCTATAGTGGTGTAAACCTTTATATGGCCCGCGCATGTCAAACCTCTTTTATCTTGTGGGCCCAGAGAGCGCACTTTGAGCTTGGACCAGTGAAACTCCCCTTTCTATCATTCAATCACACGTTTATTCCCTGGGAAGGATTAATGTGAGGGGAAAAGGTGCATTTACAACAGTATTTCTTAGTTTTTCAACATGATAAATGGATTATATTACATAAAAGTTTAGGTTTCATTGCCTAGACAAATGTTTTAGTGCATATCTGTATGGTAGGTGGTGAAAAACAGGAATCTTGTTTTTGTATGGTATGGGCCGTCATGTGGGAGGTCTTTAACAATAAGAAAAACTGTAAAAGCTGTGAAATTATAGATAAAACTTTTATATCCTCCTTCACATTTTCCAAAGCCTTTCAGACCGTAGTCTTTGCTGGGCTGATTCTGGTACCCGGGGCTTTTGTTAGACATCCCTGATCATGACTTTTAATTCTATACCAGGGTTAGGCCACTCCAGGCCTCGAGGCCCGGTGTCCTGCAGATTTGAAATCTCACCATGGGTAAACACACCTGAATCAGATGATTAGTTCATTATCAGGCCTCTGGAGAACTTCAAGAGATGTTGAGGAGGTCATTTAGCCATTTGAATCAGCTGTATTGGATCAAGGACACATCTAAAACCCGCAGGACACCGACATTCGAGGCCTGGAGTTGCCCACCCCTGTTCTATACCTTCTACATATATGTGATGCACTGGTCACATTTTTCAGACTCGCTTTCAACCACTAGATGCCAGTACTGTTTGTCACTTAGCATACATTGTTGTTGCAAATCACTTAATGTTGGCACATGTATACATACATACATATGGAATAAGTAAAATGTGGGATATCACATAATAATAATAATCCTCATTTATACCAGATGTATAAAATATTAAAACTTTTGCTTGTTTTTTGTAATTGTGGCTGAAACAGTTTGAAAAATATTTTAATCACAGTGGAACTAACCCCGGCACTGTTTTTATACACCAACTGTGAAGATTTCAGTTGAAGGAGCAACTACAGACTGATGATCTGGAAGGGATCTGTCAGAGCTAGAATTAGGAAAACACAGTACAGGTATTACGATAAAAAAGAGAACACAAAGCAGTTGACCCACAGTCCATCAAAGCCTCATCAGGCGAGTCATATTAATTTTTTAAACTAACAAATATTAAAACTTCGGATATTTCCTCCCTCTGTATATATTTGTTTTATGATATGAGTCGGCACTACTCATATACTCCTATACCTCTATTAATATACTTACAATATGATAAACTGACTCTGTGTGAGGCCAGTGTGATCACAAATTAAATCAATATTTGATTACGTGTGTGTGAAAGTGTCGCTGTGATCAGACCCAGCGAAGCTGCTCGATGAGTTGTTCTTCTGGATTTAACAGCCCCGGTCATTCAGCTGTTTGTGGGGGTCTGTGTGGTGCAGCAGAGGATAGGTCCCCCTGTCCACCAAGTTGGATGCCTCAGCTTTGTGAGGGTCCTGTCTATAAATACCCCTGACTTGCGTAGTGGCTGACAGCCACAGACAGCTGCAGCCACAAGCCATCCAACTACACGAGACTATTCAGGGCAAACTGAGCCACCCTGTGCACTGAAAGTCCCGCTCTGTTGTGGGGAGAGTGTAGGGAGCCCACGAAACCCAACCCGCACACGGCAACAGAACAAAATGTCTGCCATGACTATAGATCCAGTGGCGCAACCTCGGATGTACCAGCAGACCTTGCTTCAGGATGGACTGTGTGACCTCTTAGAAAATGACAGATTTGTGGATTGTGTCCTCAAAATCCAGGACAAGGAGTTCCCCTGCCACCGCTTGGTTCTGGCAGCTAGCAGCCCTTTCTTCAAGGCTATGTTCCTGTCTGACTTGGAGGAGAGCAAGAAGAAGGAGGTTGTCCTCAAGAATGTGGAGCCTGGGGTTATGGAGATGATCCTGCGGTACTTGTATACATCTGACATTAATCTGACAGAACAGAATGTTCAAGATATATTCATGGTCGCCAACATGTACCAGATCCCCTCCATCTTCTCTGTGTGTGTGTCCTATCTCCAAGAAAAGTTGGTGCTCGGGAATTGCTTGGCTATCTTCAGACTGGGGCTGCTTCTGGATAGTCCCAAGCTTGCTCTTGCCGCGAGAGACTTCATCTGCGAGCGCTATCAGGTTGTTGTCAGGGACCAAGACTTTCTGCAGCTAGCTCCCAGCGAGGTGGCCATCATCATCACCTCAGACGCCCTTAATGTTGAGCGGGAGGAGCAGGTGTTTGAATCCCTGATGGACTGGGTCAAGCATGACGAGACCAATCGGGTCAAAGATCTGCCCGAACTGTTGCACTGTGTTCGCTTCAGACTCATGCCTTTGGATTACTTCAAAGAAAAAGTGGAGCGTCACCAGTACATCTGCTTCAGCCAGGACATCAAGAAGGAGCTGGATCTCGTCAGGGACGCTCACAGAGGGCGGCTCCCTAAGCCGAAGAAGCCTGCAACAGATGGGGCAAAGGGGGGTGAAGGCAGTGAGGATGAGGAAGATGATGAGGACGGTTACCTGCCAGGCATACTCAACAACAATCCTCGTTTTGGGATGTTTGAAATGGACCTCATACTTATGATCAGCGACACAGGGACTGTGGCCTACGACCCGGCAGGAAACGAGTGCTTTGTTGTGTCAGAATCCACTGAAATTCCCAAGAATCACTGCAGCCTGGTGACAAGAGAGAACCAAGTGTTTGTTGTGGGAGGACTTCTCTACAACGAAGAGGACAAAGATGAACCATTCAGCTCCTACTTCCTGCAGGTAGTGTGTAATCTATGAAAACCATTTGTAGCTCTTTACAACCTGAACTCTGACGATGGCTCCTTTTCAAATCTTAAGGTATTTTAAAAATATTTCTGGATTCTTTTGTATTTAATTCCTCTCACATCACTTTTATTTATCCCCAGTTTGACCCAGTCAGTTCAGACTGGTTAGGGATGCCTCCACAACCCAACCCACGCTGTCTGTTTGGCCTGACTGAAGCTGAAAACTCAATCTTTGTTGTTGGAGGAAAGGAACTGAAGGACGGCGAGCACGCACTGAGCTCAGTCATGATCTATGACAGACAGTAAGTTTAATATGCTCTAGTGTAATGGAAAATGCACATCTTATCTAAATTATGGCCATCTCTCTTGGAAATATAATTGCATACGATAGTAAATACGATTTGTTTAAACTTTGACCTTAAAATTCAAAATCATCAAGTCCGGAAATGTGTGTTTTCCTTATAAAAGGAACAAAAAAGCAACTCCCAAGCCTCGTTTCTTCTTAGAATCACAGTTTGCATGAGTCACTCACTTTATCATCTGCAGAGTCTGTTCATGATGGTACATGTTCTTCTTCATTTGCACATCTGCACAGGTCTTTCAAATGGGGAGAATCTGATCCCCTGCCTTATGAGGTGTATGGCCATGGAACTGTATCACACAAAGGGCTCGTCTACGTCATTGGAGGAAAGTCTGAAAGCAGGTAAGTGCACTACAGGCTTTAAAAGCCCACATTTTTATGATAATGTCGGTAGGAAAAAAAAGAAAAATCATTATTAAACCTCATTCATCATCAGTCTCATAGTTTTATTTTATTATTATTTAATTATTTTGTGTTCTGCGGATTTTATAACTCAGTTTATAACTTTGGCTAAACAGAACTTTTAAAGTCTGCGGTGGCTGAGCACAATGTTTCATTTTGTTATTTTAATGGGGATCAGACCAAAAACCAACCAACTTAAAAAACAAATAAATAAACAGTCCTGGCTCCTGCAAAATCAAAAACATCAGAAATGAACAGGATTAGAACATATATGACGAAACTCATGCATGAACTCAAATAATCCGTTTAAAAAAGCATATTTTGTCTGTTTGTTTGCACATGCGTGTTTGCGCACGTGTGTGTGTAGGAAGTGCATGAGAAGAGTGTGTGTCTACAATCCCACTAAGTTTGAATGGAAGGACCTGGCCCCTCTGAAAACAGCCCGCTCTCTGTTTGGCATCGCCGTCCACAACGACCAGATCTTTGTGGTCA